TATAACGATCACGAATGATAACGAAACGAATCTTACTGGAAATTTATTACCATTATATTATGTGAAGTATGATCAAATAGCATAGAAAGAAAGAGCATTTTTTTCTCTATCATCCTGTGTAAAAAGAAACTTTTATCAAGCTTACTAAGTGGTACTAAAATGTCGTTGCCACTACTTTTGGATACCCCTAAGTAGTTGAAAAATATTTTGATTGAAATTTTGTTTTCACTTTTTTTAAAGAAAATAAATGTAAGAATTTTAATTAAAGTGTGGAAATGACTTTAAGATAAACATTGAGAATTAATTAAAAAGAAAGCTAATAGTTCAAAGTTATTAGAACAGCTACCCTATTTGCAATGAAAACTCATTTTTTTCAAATGGTTCGATCTTGACAGTATTTTTTTTTAGAGGATGAGCATCGTTCAGTGAAAATTTTAGCTCAAAATATTGAATTGTGACGATAGTCAATCGACTGCTTTTTACTCACAATTAATGTCAATGTCAAGAAAGCAATAAAATATTTAGACTAGAAGAAACTAATTTAATATTTAAAAATAAAAAAAATAAAAAAAAAGTTGTTGGTCTGATAAGATAGATAAATAAATAAAAATCTGAAGGCCTAGTATCTCACATATTTTCTCACCCTTATTATAATCAAATTTATTTCAACAAAAGCAATGATTTTCATTTATTTTCTTTTATTTTAATTTCTTCTAATATACAACTCTAACGAAGAATTCCGAGACACTTTAGAGTAGCTTTTCAAAATTCTATACTCCATTTCAATTAAACTTTATATTATGATATTTAGTACAGTTATTGATTAAGGTTTCGTATTACTTTCTACAAACGCAAGAGGACCTGAACAAAAATTATTCAATTTTTCCGCATTCTGGCAACGTGATAAAATGAAAGTACCTTAACAGAATTCAATTACTTCAGTATCGATTCCTTAGGATATTCTCAATATCATACCTCACTAAGTGATTAATATTTTTTGCAAATTATTCTATTGAAAAACATGACCGATGTACTTCGTCGAAGAATATAAATGCAATTGGAATTTTTTGATCTCACTCATATTGTATATAATGCCATTATAAGGATAGAACGAAAGAAAGAAATAAGAAGAGATTTCGACGAGGGCCGTCTATGGAGTGATCAACCTGACAAAGTCAAATAAAGTAAAAATTTAATGGATGAAGATGACCTTGAGAAGAATGGTATTAGTTGTGTTCCTTCGTTTCTAGCAATCAGAACATGTAGATGGTGCGTCAAGGAATTCAAAAATGATGTTCAGTGAAAAACGAAAGAGAACGCAGGTCATTACCAAGTCGTTCGAATCGTTTTCATGTCGATATTAGAAGTGAAATTGAACAATGTAAATGAGAAATAATCTCAACGCATATCTTTTGTTTCGAATTCACTGATCTATTGATGAGATTTTTTGTACGCTGACACATTATTATTGTTGCTACAGGGTAGACTATAAATAACTCCGCGATAAGAAATTGATATATTTTCACTTTGGTTCAAAAAAATGGACTGATTTTTTGGATAGTGGTAGAACTTTACTTAAAATTTTATTTCATACAGGCAATGTAAGTAAATATTGCTATTAAATATTATAGTTGCCTTCACGAAAAAAATTTTACTTGTTGTCAAGTAAGAAAAATACATGTGAAATATTCATAGATAATTTTCAATTGTCATCTGAGAGGATGACAAAAGGAAAACAAGACAACCTTTAGACATGTTACGATGTTGATGTACAGCGAGAAAGTGTTTTGAACTAATTAGTTTAAATGCTGAAATTCGTGTCTGACAACTAAAACGCACAGTTAAAGCCCTTCAGATACCGAATCAGCAATTTACTAGCAATAACCAGTGTTTCACATGTGAAAATTCGAAACATTGTAACTGTTGACTTTTAAACTAACTGGTTCAGAAAATTTTTTCGCTGTGCATCAACATCGTATCATGTCTAAAGGTTGTTTTGTTTTCCTCTTATCATCCTCTCAGATGACAACGGAAAATTATCTACAGAATGCTTCACATGTATTTTTCTTACTTGACAACAGATAAATTATTTTTGCGAAGGCAATTATAATATTTAATAGCAATATTTACTTACATTGTCCGCACGAAATAAAATTTTGACTAAAGTTCTGCCACTAACCAAATATATCATACGTAGTTGGTCATATTGATCAGAGTAATTTGTGGCATGATCTTTGAGAATCTGACTTTACTAATCTATATACTTATTGAGTTCTACAATGCATTTATGACGCTGTACGTCGATTTCATTAATTATCATTATCATTCGATTTTTATTTTCTCTGAGTATTTATCAAATTTTTCTCGAATCGTGTTTTCTTTCTTACTGGTATTGCATGGCTCACACCTAGGTGGTGACTTTAAGAAAGTGCTTATACTGTCACCAATAGTAATCACATCATAAACAAGTGTTCAAAATTGAAGACTTGTAATTTTTTTTTCGTCTTTTACAAGTCCATATCTGTTCACGTCATTCACATTCAATACGATCTCTAAATGGATATTTAAAAAGTCTATGTTCAATTCACTAATCGGTTGCTGTAATTGATAAAGCAATTTTGTCTGTAGCGGAAAGAGACAAGACAAATTCAAGAATATCTAAATAATTAAAATAACAAATATATTTAGACAAATATCATGTTGATATTTAGAACATCTCTAATAACTTTAATCCTGAATCAATCAATAACTGGAATGAGATGAATAAAATCAGGTTATTTGTATGAAATATTTTTATTTACGATTATTCATTCTCAAATATTCAATTGTACAAAAAAAATCAAGTATTGTCTTTTTTGTCTACAATAAAACTGATGTATTGTAAATATCAATGTCAAGATTAACATTTTATTCATCTACGATCTTAATCATCAGTACAATGTTCATTGATATGTTGAGAGCGATCATCATGTTTCATTTTCAATGGAAATATCATAAGACATATTGGACATTTATTGATCGCATCGTTTTCGTTCAGATTGTTATCTTTTGAATTGTTGCTATTATTAATTGATCGACTATCATCATTTGAAGACTCAACCGGCAATGAATGTGGACTTCACAAAGAAAAACAAAGATCGTAAAAAAAAGAAATAATTTGCATACAAAAACTTACACTCTCTCATTTGAAATTGATGGTGCAGATTCAACATATAAGTCTCTATTTTCACCACGATTATGTTTTATATCATTGATGTGTTCAGTTATTGGCTTTTCTTTAAGGTTGCCATTTTCAGGCTTAGATGTATTAAACTTTTCCTTCTTCTTTCTTTCTATTTGTTCGGAGACAGTTATAATTTTAAGACCTTGCATTTCACCAGTGACAAACTCAAGCTGTGTTACTTGAAATTCTAATGATCGACATTCATTGAGTAATTCTTGAAATAAATCGATGTTTCGTGCAGCGTAACAAGCACGTGTTGTGTCAATATTTTCTTCACGTTTTTCATCAAGATTGAGTCGTTGACGTTGAAAATCTTCCGCTAGAATACGGATTTGCTCCTCGGCATAATTATTCACATCGTCAATGACTTTTTGCCGCCATTTATTGATCTCGTTAACGGTTAGTATAAGATGATTTTTCATTTGCTCCCAATGATGAAAGAATATTCCTCGAATTTCATTTTCTTCGTTAGTGCTATCAGGTAGCCAGCGACAAGGATCAGTCAAGTTAATGTTCATAATTCAACAAGTATCTATAACATTCCATAAAATTTATCATTGATGAATACAACATCATGAATCATCTCTATGGAATTCTTAATTATCTTAATAAGTTCTATATACTTTTTATTCATGGAGACTACGTTTTTTTTTATTTACAGTAATTCACTGTTCTGATCTATAGAGAAAAGAACAAGAAAAAAAAATGAGCTTGAACAGTTAAAAATAACTGGAAAGAAATTGATTCTTTTAAATAGTGTGTTGCCGAGCAAATAAGTGAAAGAACAGAGAATAACTACTTCGACAACATTTTTTGTTTCTTGATTTTTTCATTCAAACATACACAACAATGGCCAGCAGCGATCGTCGAGCAAGTTTGTCTCCAAGTGAACGACAACGAACCAAAAGTCAATCATCTTATCGATCACATCGAACAACACCAAACACGCCTTTATACGAGGAAGATGCTCAACGAGAAAAAACATCTTCACAAGCATCAAGACGAAGTACTCGAGAAACGAATCCAACAAAACGTTCAGAAAGTTCGACAAGTAATCGATCAAGTGCTGCATTATCGCCAATATCGAATGCATCGAAAAGACAAAGATCTAGTTTAAAACCATCAGCATCACCAACAACACATCGTAGACCAGTTTCAAAAAGAAAAAAAAGACCAATCAGTGTAGGTGATATTGAGAGAAGACAATTATCAGAACCAAATGATTCTGAAAAACAAGATTTAAGTGCACAAGGTCTTTCAATGGTACCAGCAGAAATCTTCGAACGTAAGTTTATTGATAGTTTTAATTGATTGAATGTAATTTCTATATAAAATTTTTTTCTAGTTGTTACGCTTCGTCGATTAATTTTATCAAATAATAATCTATCAGCTTTACCACCAACAATAAATTCATTAATCAATCTTGAATATCTTGACCTATCACATAATCCATTAGTTGTTAACAATGGCTATGATGATTATTCATGTTTTCCACGTGAATTTGAAAACTTAAAAAACCTTCAAACATTAATTTTGTCTGAATGTGCATTGAAATATATTCCAGCTGCTGTTTGGAATGTACTTAGTCTTCAAACGCTTGATTTAAGTCGAAATAAAATTGGTTATATTGTTGGTGATATCGGTAAATTAAACAATATATCAGATTTTATTTTTCGCAAAAATAATCCATGTTTTTCTTTTTGATGAAATACGGCAAGAAATAACTTTGAGTGACTCTTTTCCTCCTAATGTAATACAACAAATAATGAAAATATAAATATTTCGGGATTTTATCTGTTCAAAACTTTTCAACATTTCATAAACTCTTAAAAATCCGAATATCTATATCAAAAATCTACAAAACAAGAGAAGCAAAATCTATTATTTTTCGTTTTACTACTAGATATTCTCATTCTTTTTTTAATTATTAGGTAATTTAGCCGATATTCGACATCTTCGTTTATCTCACATGGATCTTGATACACTTCCACCTGAAATGGGTTTTTGTGATAAACTTGAAACAATTGATTTAACAGGAAATCCAATTGATAATTTACCTGAAACCTTAGTTGAATGTCGTCAATTATATGAATTTAAAATAAATTATAAAACATTTTATAAATTACTTGATACGTATATGTTACAATTAATTGATGAAGGAAAAATTCGTTCTGAACATATACCACAAGTTATATTTGAACTAGAAAATTTACGTATATTAGATTTAAATAATACAAAAATAAATTCTATATCAAATGAACATATGTTATTAAATCTTACTGAATTATATCTATCAAATAATTCATTTTTTGATATACCAGAAGCAATAAGTACAATAGAAAAATTAAAAATACTTGATATGTCACATAATCGTATTACTACAATACCAGAATATTTTATTAATATGAGACAATTGGAAAGAGTAAATATTTCATATAATAAATTAACTTCACTTTCTAAGATTTTTGCTTATTTACCAATATTAAAAAAACTAATTCTTAGTCATAATAAACTCGATAAAATTGAAAAAGAATTTTCAAAAATTCGATCATTATTATTACTTGATTTATCTTATAATAATTTAAAATCTTTACCTGATGAATTATGTGAACTTGAACAATTAGAAACCCTTGATTTACGTTATAATAAAATTGAACATCTTCCATCACATATTTGTCGTATGATTGGACTTAAATCTATGAATACATTTAATAACACATTTCAACGTTTTGGACTTCATCTTTTAGGTAATTTAATTACTAATCCACCGAGTTACATATGGAAATCAACAAATATACAAACATTATTTAATTATATTGAAGCAAAAGAAAAAGATCTTTCAAATAATTTTCATCATCTAAAATTAATTCTAATTGGATCAAAAAATATTGGTAAAACAACATTAGCAATTAAACTTATTAATAATCGAAAAAAAAATTCAAATACACGAAAAACTATTGATATGTATGTTTCTATTCTTCAACAAAAACAAATAAAAAACGGTGAACTAAAGAATTCTCAACAAAAACTAACATCAAATGATGCTATGTCATCTGCATTAACAGATCAATGGATTGAAAATCGTATATCAACTAGTGGTGATTATCTTTATAGTCGACATTTAAAAACAAAACGAATTAATCCACCACCACTTAAAACTTATCGATCAATTGAACAAATGAATTCTATTATACAAAAATCAACATTTATTACAAAAAATAATTTTTATTATACAATATTTGATTTAGAAAGTGAACCAAGTTTTGAAATACTTTATCCATTAATTTATGATTCAAATGCTTTATATTTATTACCAGTTAATTTAACTATTCTATTAAATAATTTGCAAACAAGTACTAATTTTAAAAATATCAATGAGTAAGTGTTTATATATAAATATTTCAAATAAATGAAATTCATATTCTATTTTAAGATATGAAAATTCATCAATTATAATTAATTTTGATGCATTATTAACAAATGATTGGTTATATTGTCATATATTTCATTATCTAGAATCAATATCTGATTATTGTCAACAAGTATCTATTGCAATTCTTGGTTTAGTTGATGATTCTCAGTTAGCATCAAATGATCGACAACAACAACAACAACTTCTTGATGAAATTCGTTCAAAAGTGAATGCATTTTTAATCAATACAGAAGATCAACGAGGAAATATTAAATTTTATTCAGAGTATTTTCTAGAACCAATTGATATAAATGATGATCAAATATCATCATTAATCATTGAACAATTAGAAACAATAGCTCAACAATGGGCTATTGTACATCACAAACAAAAACGACAACTTATCAAACAACGTTTTGCTTTTCTTAAACATGATGCTTTAATAATCAATTATGACACTTGTTTAAAAAAGTTCGAACAACAAAAACAAGTCCCATTAGTTTTTCCTGATGATGATAATGATGATGATGAAACTGAAAAAAATAAAAAACTTATTGCAGAAATAAATGCAATGTCTTTTGATGAATGTCTTGATTATTTAAAATTAATTGGAGATATTTTTTGTTTTGGTCAAAAATCTCATATGAAAATTCTTATAAAACCTTATTATTTATTAAATAAAATATTATCTAATACTCTATTTCGTCCAAATATTGATCAATGGTTAAATTATGATGATAATATGGTATTTCGTTTTTCTGGTTATTATCCAGAACAAAAATTATTTGATATTGATCGACAACGTTTATTAACACGTGGTGAATTTACATGGAAAATGCTTAATGTTTTATTTTATGAACAAAATAATAATAATATTAATTTAACTGAACAAAATATATTTGATTATTGTCATTTAATGGAACGATTATATCTTGGTTTTTTAAATAAATCAAATCTAAGTTGTAAGAATAAACTAATTAAATTTCTATTCATAATACTTTTCTTTGTTGTTTTTGTTTTTTGATCGTGAATTTACAACAAATTATTTTGTTTGTCCATGGTTAATGGATGAGAAATGTTCAAATATTGATTATCTAAATTATTTTAAAACACTTGAACAAAAACGTCAATATGAACATCTTCAATGTGAACAAGCAAGACGTATAAAACAACAAGAATTATGGTTTTCAATAGATAATAGAGAGAATATTGAAAATGAAAATTCATTATCAATAAATTTAGCTCAAAAAGAAATCTATCAAAATATTTCAATTATTATTCCAGATTTACCATCAATTGATGAAATTCAAATATTTGATTCTCAAATAATAAATCAAGATTCTATTCAAACAATAAAAATTTTAAATGACAATTCAAATATTTTACCAAATGGACTTTATGAACATTTATTAATTTGTTTACATCCTCTATTTAATGAACGACTCGATTATTATAATTTAACAATTGGACGAACTATAGATAAAAATTTAATTAAAATCGAACGATTTAATGAACAAAATCAAATTCATCTTACAATTAATAATAATTTACTCGAGCGTATACAAAATATTCTCATACACAATCTTTTCTCAATCTATTCTACGAAAAATCTCCGAATAGAAACATGAAGAAAAAAAAAGAAAACATTATTTTAATTCATTTTATTTTATTTTTTTTTGTATATAAAAATAAAATAAATACAAACAACAAAGAAAAGAAACAAAAATATTCGCTAAATCAGAAGAACACAACAAAAGGATTTAAACTACGCACCAATATTATAAATAAATGAAATGAATGGTCAGGAATCTACAGACGATTATATATATATATATATTTGTATATATACACTGTTACTGATTTTTAATATTAGAAAAGAAAAACATGACTAGTCGCTAGAAGCCGGAGGATGTGAAGTTGATGATGCTGTTCCAACATTATTCTTTTTATCCGTTGCTGATTTTCCATTATGATTGTCATCATTCTCATCGTCTTCCACTAGTTGTTGATCGATATATTCTCGTACACGTCGCTCATAATCTCGACGATGATTTTGATAAAGCATAGCTGCTTCTGAATTAGCTGGTGAAGCTGGATTTGGATCAGTTAATAATGAACGAATAGAAATAAGCAATGTTGATACATCTAAACTAGCACTCCAACGATGTTGTAATATATCAAGACAAATTGATCCATCCATATCTATTAAAAATAAATATATTGACATATATATATATATTAAGAATTTTTTATTATATAAAAATTAAATCTTACATATATTTGGATGAAATACTTTGGTAACAAATTTGACATCAGGTGGATGATTTGGATAATCTTGTGGAAATTTAAGTGACAAAACAAAACTTCCATCTTCAAAAAGACTATCTTCTGGTCCATCTAATATAGCATTCCAATGGAATATATTATCTGCACTAACAGGTGCGGCATTTATTCCTTCAACTGGATTTTGTGATAAATCACGTAAATCACGCATTAAACGCCGTTGAGCTGTAATTGCTGTTGTTGTTGTTGTTGCAATTGGTGCATTTGATGAGCTCATAGTTTTTAGTTAAAATAAAGCAATATTGTAAAAAAATAATCTAGAAAAAACACTATAGATATATCATCGTTTCATCAATACAGGCTAAGTGAAAGACGATAACCATATGTTAAAGATTCGAAAAGAAAAGAAAACTATCGATATAATGGCGCAAAAGAAAGAAAAATAATATACATATTTGTACATACTCGTACTCGTGATGCTAAACAGCAATGGAAAGTTTTTAAGTCATAGTATGTAGTTGCACTCAATAATGTAATTATAAATATGATTGTACTTCTCCTCTAGAACATTCGAAGAAAAAAAAAACAATTTTTTTAAATAACCAATCCATGAAAATAAAAGATGTCGTTGGAATTTTTTTCAACTTCATAGATACCAAAGAACCAATAAGAAAATTACAGTAACTAAAAGTAAAATGAGAACAGATGCAGCAGAAATATTGTTATTAGACGTACTTCTTGTTCTGTTTATATTATCGTTGAGTATATATGAAGTATATATAATGAAAAAAATAAGTGATCAACCATTTTGCTGGATCTAATGCAAATAATATTTATGTGTAATATCATATTCAAATACGACAAAAAATTTTGTAATATATGATTTGAAATCTAGAAATCGTTGTTTCGTATTTATAAGGGAAAAAAGAATGCAGTAAAGAATGAATGATTTTTACTCATATTGTATGTTTGTTAACATTTCTTATCAATTGAAGTAAATGAACCAATATATACGCTATGTCGATTATTTTTTATCAAACTGAAATTTCCTTTCTTCACTTTGCTTTTTTTTAAAGACTTTCGCACCTTTGTAAGGTGTCCGTAATGCGAAATTCAAGTAAAAACTTTTTTTCCGGCTTTTTTTTAAATCATCTGATCGAGCTTGAGCTGCTGATCACGAATATATACTTTTTTAGTCTTAGTGAATACTTCCTTCCGGTCGAAAAATACGAAATACTCAAAGAATATTTTTTCCTTAAAAAAATCACATCTTTTTTGAAAATGAACAAAATTTTCTGCTTTACTCTTATTTTCAGCTTTTGAACATAATTTTTTCAGAATGAGCATGAAAAACTGATTACAGACAAGTCGTTAAATCGA